TAAAACTTACTATAATTTATTATATATTTATAAAATTAATTTAAAAAAAAAAATTTTAATTATTTATAAAAGTAAATCAGAAGAGAATTTATAGTAAATAAGCAGGCAAATTTGCTTACAAAACCCTACGATTTAAGGGATATAATATTAATAATAAATTTAATTAAGTTAATAAGTTTCCTTAATAACTTAATTAAGGCAAAAAACTTAAAAATGTTAAAAAAAACTTTTTAAGTCCCATTTTCTGACCTTGATTTAACACAAAAAAAAAAATCTTTACGCATCCTCTTCATTAATAATCCTATTATAAGAACTGAAGTGGAAAAAATAATTCCTACTTGTAAAGACAATGGAGAGGTACTTGATTATTTGAAAAAACTCCTAAAGCCTGATATGTTCTCACACAGAGATTTGAACGAAATATTAAATAATGTGGCTTGACTTTTGATATCTGTAGCTTTTATTCTCATATGCGCTGTCATATTAATAATATTTTCTAATATATATAAATTTCTACCATTATAACTTTTCAGTAACATCTCTCAAACCTATTCATCAACATCGTTCTTCATCCTTTCCCATAAAAAGAGAAAAAAGAAGAAGAGGTAAAGAAAAAATTATTAATTTTCTTAATGTTCGTAAAGAAAATATTATTCATAATGGATTAAATTTTTTTATTTGTTTTCAGGAACGCGTTTTATAAAATTGATGTATTAAAATATATGTATAAACAAAGTTATTTGTATATTGTAAATTCAATATATGTATGAAACATAAAAGTTACATTTTATTACAAATAAATAGAATCTTACCTCGCGTTATAAGTAAAGTAATGAATAATCATACATTTTAAATGATTTTTCATATAAATACCTGGATTTTTATCCTAAAAAAATAGCAAAAAAATTTTATTCAAAGAAACAAAATAATGATTAAATGTCTGATAGATGAGTTTATATCCGAAACATCTGCGATAATGCCATTTTCGAAGACTTCCTTAAAAGTGAAATTCCTCAAATTGAATATAACTAAGAATGTCCCATTACCATTGTATGCTTCAAAAATACCGCTAAAAATACCTGTAACTGCTACCTCTCAAGGTGATTCATCCATCGCTCTTAATACACGATCATCCTGAAGGTAGTATAAATCAACAGATTACTAAGTTCAAGCATTCAGTCTGCAATACAAAAAGCAAAAAATATTTTGCTAGTACTTCTGGTGACTTATTATGTTGTAGTTGGGGTTTTACTTTTTAATATCACGCAAGGAAATAGTGACATTGAAGTAATTGAATATCTAATTACACTGATGATATGCTTATATTGTGACTTGTTCATTGCATGTACAACAAAATTCGCCAAATCCGTAATTTTAGTAATGACTTTCCATTATTAATGAAGCACAATTTGCGAACAGTAATGGTCTCTGATGATGCTATTGAAAGACTTTGAAAATCTTAAAAACGCTGGATTCTGTTCAATCAGTATATACCTCAACTGGCCAATATTGGAAACCATTTTCTTATTAGTTAGTTGTTTACCCAGCTGATTTGTTCAAAAATCGTATGAGATAAATAATCATTTGAATAATCTAAGAAACCGACCAGAACAGAAACAACTAATTGAAATTATTGATTACAATAATGCATCAGAAGTATCATCTAAAATTTCTAGATATGCTTAAAAATACCATGAAAATAAAGAAAGTAGATGAAGAGGGAAAAGTAGTAAATAGCAAAAGTTAATTATTGCTCAGCAATTCTTATGTTTCCTTGAAATAATAAGTTTTCGTGATTTTATTATAAACATGGGATTTTTTTTCTAAAAGAATAAAAGCGAAAATCTTTATTAATTTTTTAGTAATAAAAAATGATGAGTAGTAACGAAATATTGACGTGTGTTATTTCTTTGCTTTCTTAAATTCCGAAAAAATTTCTATAGCTAATTTCTATCACTATTAATGCTAACTATAATAAAAATTTGTCTATCTATATCTCTCACACTAATAAGGATTAAGTTCCGCAAGATTTCAAATCTACAATATAAATGCCAGAGATTAACAATTAAGTGAAAAAAATACAATACTTCCGATTCATTATTACCGTTATATTTTATAATTATGATATACCATTTCGCTTTATATCTGAAAAAAAATATTGTGGGTTCTTTAACTTGCATTATGCTGAGTTGAATACAATTTCAATGGTAAATGATACGCGTGATGTCAAAAATCAGGTGAGACAAGAAATGAATTAGAATTAAAATTATTTCTTTGGACCATTAATTTTGCAAAAGACATTTCTAAATGACCTGTATTTCACATTTTTTTATTTCTCATATATTATTGCAGAAGATATATCGAATATTTATATATTTTTTTATATATAAGAAAAAAAAGAAAAAGTAATCTCGGTTAAGAAATTGATCCCTGGTTATTATACTATCAACTTCGTCAATTCCACATTTTAGAGCTTCCTAAATCATTCTCTTATACATTTAGACGGACTTATTTCAGGTATCTTGTAATGACAAGACAGTAGTCTATTTTGCATGAAAGTGATGTGTAAGATTTTCGATACTTACATTTGAGTGAGTTAGAAAGTTAATAGCAGAATGTGGGTAAGAAGAGTCTTTTTTGAGTACTGGTAATGTTTATATAATATCAAGGATCCTGAACCTGACTACTGCAGATTCTTTTTACTAGACATATATGTAGAAACAATATGTGTAAACCGTCATCTAATTTACTTTAGAAAAATTAACATATTGGTTTAATCTTTCTGAAAATTCGTTATAAGTTGTTTGGTTCTCGTTTTTAAAGGATGCGATGGTGTATTTTAATAAAAATTTAATGACAAATGTGTAAATCCTAAAACTACATGTGAATACACAAAAATCAAGGATTTTAACCGAACCGAAATGGATCGCTACTCATGATGATATTTATTGATGCTATAATGGATCAATTTCATAATAGTTTATTGTCGTAGCCCACTGATTTATCATTGAATAAAAATAATTTTTTTTTTTTAATTTTCAATTTTTTAATTTACAAAATGAGTAAAATTGAGAACCAGTTTATAAAGGCAGAAGCAGATTTGAAGGAGTGAAATGAAGCATAAGGAAAGAGGTTGGTAGAGTTGGAAGTGGATTTATTGGAGGAAAGATGGAGTGGTAAAGTGAAGAAGGAAAAGAAAGATATTTTAAACAATTTAAAAAAACAGAAAAGCAGTTTAGAGGAGTTAAAAGATAGTTGGAAGGCATTGTATCAAAAGGAGTTAGCTGAAGAAAATGTAATGAATAAATTGCGTAAAAAAAAATTGCAAAAAATTGTTTTTCATTCATTCCATTCATTTCATTTCGTTTATTTATTTATTTGGTATATTGTTGCAACTTTAACTGTTTTGAGCTTTTTTTTCACATGTTTATAATTCATTCTCTATATTCCAACGTTTTACACTTTATTAGGTAAAAGTGAAGAGTACTATATTATTATATCATCAATTATTTTAATTTCTTTTTTACTAATCACATTTTTATTGTACTGTCTTACCACATCCTTTATTTCGACTCCACCAGGCTTTGCTAATAATGGTGAGTGAAGAGATTATATGAATAAACTGACAAGCTCCATGAATAACGAATACTTTTATATTATAGATCTTGAGATTAGAAACAATTTGTATAAGCGTCATTGAACCGATTCAAGTGGTAAGTATAATGAGATGTGTTTTTATTTTATGGTACTTGCATTCTATTCTAATTCATTTCTAGATATCAACCCCTCTATTATCAGCTTAGATTTCTATTAGAGGGAGAACTTTTACAGCTTGATGCTAGTGTTTTACCAGAGTGGAATGATAAAGAATTGGAAAAAACAGTGTTATTCCCCGATCACACGTAATTTTTCAAATAGCAATGAGTGATCTTTTACTTCATCTGAAAAATGGTCCTTGTATATCAATAACTGCATTCTCTTTCACAAAGTTTTGCGAGGTCCCAGTGGCTCTGGAAAGACTACCACACTTGTTGTTACAGGATATTTTGCCAAAAAGAGTGGATGTATTGTATTTCCTGTACAAGGTAAATACTTTACTGATGGTACGATGTGATTAAACAGTAAAATGTAGAGCTTCTTAAACCAATGGCTTTATGAGCAGATAAGGCATTATTACAAAAGATACCTTGTCAGATTACTGGTTATAAAAGCCTCTATGAAATCGCAAATGCTGGAATTAGCAATAAAGATATGTCGATTTCGATTTTCAAAAATTTCGTACAGGAATTGCAGCAGGTAGTTCACGTCCCTGTCATATTTTTGATTGATCAATGCGACGCATTAGTATTACCTCATCAATGTCAACTCAGATCAAATGCTGCACCAACCCAGATACAACCAGAAGAAAACCCGATCTGTAACATTTTCAAAAACTGGGACACATTCAAAGTCAAACGTGGTGCTGCCCTCTTTGCTTTCTCTTCAACTTTTCATGCTAGTAGTATAGCAGATGACGGTAGTCTTATGCTTATGGACACCATCAATCTGTTGACAGAAAGTGACTGGTCTCGCCTTACAGATAAGCTTATGCAGGAAAGGTGTTTACCGAGTAAACATAAATCTTAGAATGTAAGGGAGTTAACAGATGGACTTCCACGAGAATTACATCGATATTGTAAAGCATGGATGACTATAAGATTTCATGGTACTGAGATATCTATTAGAAAAATATATATGAACCTTGCAGTTGAATACTACATGATTAGAATACAAAGACTATTGGATCCTCAGCGGTTTGGAAAAGCAGTGAATGATAGCAGCATCTTTGCTGCTAAACTTTTCATGGGTTTAGAAATGTGAGGTATTCCTGAAAGTTGGAAAGTTTCAGGTATGATCATGTATGATGATATGAAATATCTTCTTGTCTGTCCTCCAGCTGAGCAAGCCATTTACGAAGTATTTGATGATGATCATTTGCAGAATGTGATTGCAGTAATAGGGAGGATGAAAATATATCATAGAGAGCCTTGGAATTATGTATCCAGCATCGATTCCGAAAGGCGACATTATCAGAATATCCAGTCTTTATTACTTACCATAATTTAGCAAATGGAGATGAAAAAAAGATGAGAGTAGTAGTAAATAAAATTGTACGAGCAGATGTAACACCTTCATAACAAATCTCACTGGAAAAGGGAACTATGTACGTATGTGAGCGTGGTCACGCTGTTATTGATTTCTTTATTTACGATTTATATGGTGAGAGAATATGAATGCAGATGTCATCAGAATCAGCATACTGGGAACATCATATGAAGTATGAGGATCTTTTCAAACAAAATGCCATGTTAGGATCTTTTAGTATTTACGATTTCTACCGAATTGCTACAGGTTCTAGTACAAGGAGAGCAACAAGTCTTGAGATAAACGAATATTATATATATGTCACCATGTCTAATTCAAAGATGAGGACTACCACTTCTGGGTATAATCATATAGTTTGTCTTGTAACTGATGATCATACGCGCAAGTTTCTCAAAAATATGTTATGATGTAATACTAAAATAATGTTACCATTTTGTAATTCCATTGGATATTCTGTAGTTGTTTCTAACCAAATGTATGCAACTCAAAAAGCTGCTTATATTTTATTATTTGATAATAACGCTATTAAAGAAAAGAGTAAAGAGAATTGGCTAATATAAAAGATTTTTTTTTTATTATCAAACCTACAATGTTCTTGCTATAGATTTTAATTATCACCTTTACGTCTTTACGTTGGGGTGGCAGATGGACTAAATAAATCAAACATATATGTAGGCCTATATAATATTTTTTTTTTTTATAATACAGGTTTTTTATCTCTGGTAATTCAGGGATTTTATAGTATTAGGGATCTATACAGGTAAATATGGCTTTTTCAATAAAATATAAATTTTTATTTTTAAAAGAACTTTCATTATATTACAAAAATTCATTTAATATGTTTTGAGAATGTGCGATTTAATCCATTCCATTACAATTTCTCTTTTTGTCATGAGCTTGCAATGCATCTTGCGATGCATTTTTCACAACAAAAATTATTAACATTTAAACAATAATAATTATTTAATGAATATTTAAAATATTAAGAATAACACAACGCATTAAAGGCAGTTCGTAAAGTTGGCATCTATATAGCTTACAATATCTCGTATTTCTGATAAAAATGAGAAAAACCCATTTTTTTTAATGAGAATGACGCGTCTGACGTATATCAAATTTATTATTGTTAACATTATATATTTTTCATGACTTAATTTGCTTAATATTCTATAAATTTGTTCTTGTATATTTTGAAATTAAAGTTATTATTAAAATATAAAAGTAAAATAGAAAAATTGTTTTGTAATAAAAAAATTTTTTAAAAAAAAAATAACTTTATAAACAATTATTATTACACTCAAATATCTGTAAAACAAAAGTATATATGCATACAATAATACTTATTAAATTGATTATTTAAATTATTAAAACTTGTTACAAAACAATTAATATATTTGTTTTTATAAATACATTTACAGAAATATATTATAATAAATTTGTTTTGAATTATTTTTATAATTAGATTTTCAATCAAAATAAAAAATAATAATATAATCCTTTTTGATAATACTATTTCAAAGTTTTAAAGTCTAAAAAAGAAAGATAACTTTTAAAAAAAAGAAAAAAAAAACTTGATTATAATATTTTTAAAATAATAATAAAAAAAAAAATAAAATTCCTTTTATAAATTATCTATTTAAAATTCAAATCTTTTAAATCCAAAATTTATTTAAAAATTTACTTCTTAAAAAAAATAAAATCTTAAAATCCAAAGAAGCAAAGTTTGAAATAGCAGAATTTGAAAAAAAAAATATAATTAGATGAAATTTAAAAATTGAACAAGGTTTAAAATAGAAGTTTGAATTGATTAATCTAATTATTTGATTATTTGTAATAAAATTAATTGGTTAGATCTGATTAAATAAATAATACAGTTAATCCAGTTAATTTTTAACAGAATCATATGAATAATCTTTAATTAATTGATTATCTAAAATTTGTAAAATCTTATATGATAACTGATAAAATTTTTTATAATATTAAATTATATAATTTATATTTTGTTTATTTATAAAATAAAATTAATATTATTAATATTTGAAATATTATTTATTAGCATTATTGTATATATAATTTGAATAAGTTTTGTAAATCATACAATTTTTTCAAGTGAAAATTTGTCAACAATATTTATATTTCTCTTTAAGAATACCATATTATAAAAAAAATTAGAATCATGATATGTATAACAAATAGTGATATAATTTTCAGTATCTGAAAAAGCTGAAGATACTTTTGAGCAAGATTAGATAATACCAAAAATAAAGTCTTTCTTTCAGCCCACTATTCACATAGATTTATATTAGGACTGGCATACTTTGAATTGATATAACATTTTTTACAATATTTTCTTCTGATATATTTAAAAATTTTTGGTTAAAAATACATTTTTTGCTTTTCTATAGCAATGTCTTGATCCTAAATCAATATATAAAATATTATTTTGCATTAGTAAATTAATTATTATTATTATAAATTTAAATTTAAAATTTAAAATATTATCAATATATCCTCTTTATTATCATTTAAAGAAATTATATTATTTTTAGTAGAATTGTTTTTTAATTCATTTTGAATTAATTAAATAATCTATTCTTTTTTATATCTTGCAAAATTTAAATTTTTAAATAATAGATCTAAAAATACTACTTTTAAAATAATATTAGATGAAATATTTATATAATTATATTTTTAATTTTTTTAATAATATTTGTTATATTTATTAACTGATTAATTTGTATATTTTTTTAATTATAGGATCAATTATTTCATTATAATCATTTTCAAGTTGTTTAATTTTAGTTTATAATAATTCTTTAGTCTATTAGCCTCTACAATTAAACAATATTTGATATGATAATTTTCTTAGTAATATTATTTTACTTTATTTATAATCAGATATCTCTTTATTACGAACAAATAATATTAGTGCTAATTACCTTATTAAAGGAAGAAAAACACCTTTATAAGATATTATTCTAGTTGAAATAATACAATTCAGCCAACAATCAGATGTCTGAATTGTGTCTGAATTTAGGCTAAATTGTATATAAATTATAACTGAATTGTAATAAATTTGGTTTAATTCCTATTTATACAATTCAGCACTAATAAGAACAATTTAAATATAATAATTCAGACATAATTTGAACACAATTCAATCTAAAAATCAAGCTTAAAATCAATCTAAATTCAGATACAATTCATATACAATTCAATCAAAAATCAACCTAATTCAACTACTTAAAATCAACCACAATTAAAATATAATTCAAATACAATTTAATCTAAATTAAGCCTAAATTCAGATACAATTTATATTTTAATTTATTTAATTTATATTTTTATATTTTATAATAATTTTATTCAATAATATTAAGCAAATAAGTAAAAACAAAATATTGTTCTTTTCTCCTAATTTTTAAAAAAATTAAAACTAAAAAACCAAAAGCAAAAAAACAAATTGTCCTACCTATTCTTAAAAAATATATATATACAATTTATCATCATTATTATTGTAGTTGTCCAATCGCTTTCCAATTTTTAAATTAAACTAAACTAAGGATGTTAAGTATTTTTCTATTAAATATTTCATTATATGAAGTATGTAATGTAATCACAAGACCTTGACCAGATAGTATACGAAAAATTGTTGTAATAACATTTTGAAAATTTTCAATTTCAATTTGAGTGTAATTTTTTAAAGTAGATTCCTGTAAGTGCAGTTCCGGATTATCTTTCATCTAGAAAACATCACTCCAACATAAATAATGATTATCAAGTAAGTGTTATATTAAACTTTCTACTTGTACATATTGTGTTTCTTCTTCACTTGGTGTATTATTCTTGTTACTTTTTTTTGAAGTCCAGCACTAAATATACAGGAATTAAAATACCGCATGATATATTGTTCAAAAGAATGCCAACGTGAATACTGCTTCTTTATTGTTAATATATTATTTGTAAATATAAAATTTTATTATCATTATAAAATAAATAAAAAATTAAAAAAAAACAATTATTGTAATAAATAATAACTAATATATGTTTACATAAATTCTTTCGAATGTTTTTACTAACATGTTTCAAATCAGCAAATATACGACTTACTGCAGGAATACATGCTAAAGTTTGATTGGTTTCAAGATCCCCATCAATGCATATATGTAAGGTAAAATCAGTTTCTTCTAAAGTAGGCATTATATCATTAAGCAATTCAAGTAAAATTGCATGCTCCATTTGCTTTGAAGTTCCATCAAAATTTCTCTTATGTATTGTTATTGAAGTATTATTATCCTTAGATCATATTGAACGAGAATTTTCTACTATATGAAATCCAATCACAGGTTGATCATTATATCCTAAAAATTAATTTAATTATTTAATTATTTTATATATAAATGCTTTATAAATGCTTTATACAAATTAATTTCATATCAGGAAGATCACCTAAGTATAAGAATTCTCTGCTAGCTTGATATGCATTTCGAGAATATGATCAGAAATAATCAAAACCTATAGATAATATTTTTTCTTGACCTAATAAATGGTTAGCTTCCAACTGATCGAAAATTTCAAGTAAAATTGTTTTGCAACTAAATTTTGCACTTTCAATAATTGGTTTATACATGCGGTTTTGATAATTATGATAAGATTGTTTACTACATTGATTTGTCACTCCTATTGTTGCTAATGCAGTTTGAAATGAATTTCTATTTATTCTTCCAGTAAGTGTCACTTCTGCAACCAAACGTGAATATTTTATTTCAGGATCTTCATTTGTATATTGAGTTGATGTCTTACAAAGAAGATAATTAATAATACAACATATATTTAATCCTGATATTATAGTATAAAATGTTTGGTTTGACACCTTTAAATCAAGACAGTTCGACAAAGTAGTGAAAGGAGAATAGAAAGATATTGTAAGGTACTCATAAAAATGGTTGATTTATGTTTTTTTCTTCAATTTCTATTTTACTAATTCTTGAATCTTTGCATTATTAAGTGTGATTATATCATCATCTTTTTTAGAAGCAATTTTTTCTTTTAGAGATTTTATTATTCTATTCCGTAAATAAATTATTTGTTTATATTCTATATTTTTTAGCATTAAAGCCTGTGTCTCCTTCAGAGATAATACTTTCTCATTGGATTAATTGGAATTCCAAAAAGAATATTATTATCGTTGCTTTCCTAAAGTATTGAATCGATTTTTTCTTGCTCCCGTTTTAAACTACGATGTAATGTTTTTTCTTTTTTTTCTGCATTAATTAATTTTAGATCTTCCGGTATAATAAATTGAAATACAGCTGAAAATTTTTCATGAATTAGTTGTTGCAACTTATTGACTATTTCTGAAATGTTGAGGCCAAGAATTGATTGAATAGAATTATTAGAATCAAGA